CTGAGGGCCACCTGCACCTGCCTGAGGACCACCTTCACCTTCACTTGGGTCACCTTCACCTGCCTGAGGGCCACCTGCACCTTCATGTGGCCACCTGCACCTGCCTGAGGGTCCCTTCACCTGCCTGAGGACCACCTTCACCTTCATGTGGGCCACCTGCACCTTCATGTGGGCCACCTGCACCTGCCTGAGGACCACCTTCACCTTCATGTGGGTCACCTTCACCTGCCTGAGGACCACCTTCACCTTCATGTGGGCCACCTGCACCTGCCTGAGGACCACCTTCACCTTCATGTGGGCCACCTGCACCTGCCTGAGGGCCACCTTCACCTTCATGTGGGCCACCTGCACCTGCCCGAGGGTCCCTTCACCTGCCTGGCCCCACCCCACTCACGGAAGGCCAGCCATGTCTGCCGCAGGTGCAGGTAGACGCGCAGGTCGGTCTGGAAGCCCAGGTCCGCCAGGGACACGTCCGACCCCGCCTCTCCTTTCAACTTGGCGTACTCCATGTAGCAGTGGAAGATCCCTGTGGTGGAAAAAAAAACCAAAAAAGCAGAAATTCGTCGTGTTTGGTGAAGGCAGAGCCGGGGAGGGGACTCAGGTGTGGGAATTCCATGAATCCCACCGGGAACAGGAAAAGCAGGGGGAGGATCCCGGGGCCCCCCCTCACCGTATCCCAGCACCAGGATCACCATCACGATCATCACCCACACCATGATCCCGGCCAGGAAGCGCAGCAGGACGATGAAGATGAGGCTGGCCACCATGGCGATGACGAGGCCTCTGCGGGAGGGAGGAAGGCAGCGCGTCACCACCTCCCCTCCCTCCCCAAAAAAATCGGGAGAACCGAGGGAGGGAACCGGGGATTGGGGAAAGCCGGGAATCCCTGGAATTTCTTCCTTTTCAGGCACAATTCCAAGGTAGGGAACCGGGGATTGGGAAAGGCCGGGAATCCCTGGAATTTCTCCCTTTTCACGAGCAATTCCAAGGAACCGCGGGAGGGAATCGGGGATTGGGGAAAGCCGGGAATCCCTGGAATTTCTCCCTTTTCACGAACAATCCCAAGGATTGTAAAGCCCCAGAGTCCCGCCCCGTGCTCACATGATGATCCAGTACCACGACACCGTGTAATCCTCGAAAATCTTCATGGCCAGCTGCCGCGCCTCCAGCACCACGTTGGCTTGTCTGGAAACGGGAAACGCCGATGGAGCAGGACCCCAAAAAGCGAGGAAACCCCAAATTCCTGCACGGCCGATCCCCCCCGAGCTGTGTCTCCTTCAGCTCCCGTTTCCAATCCCGGGATTTTGGCGCAGGATTTCCCCGTGGCTTTAACGCAGCCGGGCCATTAGCCCGGGACTCACTTGGCCCCTTCCAGCAGCTCGGTGACGTTCCTGCGGCGCCCTTGGCCATCGTCGTAGGTGGTCTCGTTGCCCACCATGATGACGCCTTTCTTGGCCTGGATGGCTGGGAAGCACCTGCGTGCCACTGGTGAGACAGAAGGGACGGCTCAGGTGTGAAAACAGGAGCCCCCACCCCCCAAAAAAAAACAAAAACAAAAACCACCCTCCAAAAAACGCCGGCGGAATCTCTAACGAGCTCCTGGCTAATTGCAGACGTACGTGGCGTGCTGGGGATGAGCATGGCCGGACACTCCTTGTCCCTCAGCACCTCGACAGGACCCTGGGTGGGGACAAGGAGCCACACAGTCAGAGCAGGGCCCAGCCCCAGGGCACGCCGACCCCGACCCCACAGCTCACCTTGAGCGGGTTCTTGAACTCGGGGGTGCAGAAATTCCGGTAATATTCCAGCGCCGCCGCGTTGCCGTGGGCCGCCAGGTACGTCATGTACCTGTCCGGGCACTTGCTGACACAGATCTGCAGGGGAAGGGGGCACACGGGCAGGGGGCTGCAGGCCCGGATTCCGTGGGGGGGGGAATTTGGGGGAAGCCCAATTGCAGAGGGGCCGGGCCGTACCTGCGTGGTGGGGCACTGGAACTCCAGCAGCACCAGCGGGCTGGCGCACTTGACGATGTCGAAGTAGAAAAGGAAAGGTTTTTTCCTGTAAAACCAACCAAAAAAAAAAAAAAACCCACGGGGTTTGGGGGAGCCTCCTCCACGCTCCCCCCGGAGGGATTTGGGGTCTCTCCAGCCCGGCACTCACTCGTTGGGGGTCCCCTGCTGCCCGCAGAATTGCCCGCGGCTGTCTGTGGGGTGGATCACCTTCCGGGGGTCCCCGTGGGTCCAGGCTGGGGGGACACAGGATGGTGAGGCCGTGGTGACCCCCAGAACCCCCCCAGACCCTGCAGGGACCCCCCTGAGCCCCCAGGGACCCCCCTGAGCCCCCAGGGACCCCCAGGACGTACCCACGACGCCGACCACCACGTAGCCCACGATGGCCACCACGAGCAGGACACAGCAGATGATGTCAGTGCAGCCCCTGGCAGGGGGACAGGGAGGTTGGGGACACGGATTTGGGGACACGGATTTGGGACCTGGATTTGGGGACCCGGATTTGGGGACCTTGATTTGGGGACCCGGATTTGGGACCTGGATTTGGGGACCCTGATTTGGGGACATGGATTTGGGGACACGGATTTGGGGACCCGGATTTGGGGACACGGATTTGGGGACACGGATTTGGGGACACGGATTTGGGGACCCGGATTTGAGACCTGGATTTGAAGATCTCGATTTGGGGACCTGGATTTGAGGATCTCGATTTGGGGACCTGCAGCTGGGGACCCTGAATTTAGGAACCTTAAATTTGGGAACCCGGAATTTGGGGACCCTGGGGGCGTCTGTTTACCTGTCATAGATGGGACCTTTGAAAGTCGGGTCATATTTCTGTGGGGTTCCTGTGGAGAGGAAAAGGAATGGGAAATGGCTGGGGCAGGAGGAAGGCACTCCTCATCCTCCTCACCCCACAGCAAGCAAAAACAAACAAAAAAAAACAACTCCAAAAGAGATCCTTGGGATAAGCAGAATCAGGAAGGAAAAACATCTCCAGACCCGTTCCCAGCTGCGGATCCAATTCCTGAGCTCGGAAACCACGACCCCATGGAAAACTCATTTCCCACAGGTGCCCCAAAAATATCCCCGGACCCGGAACCCCACGGAAACACCGAATTCCATGGAATCACCGTGGGGCAGAGCGGGGCTCGGGGGGTCCCACCGGGGCTCGGGGGGTCCCACCGAACCCCCCGAGCAGCCCCGGCCCCGCCGCAGCCTCCCCGGCGCCGCTGCTCGGTTTTATTTTTAGGGTGGGACTGGAGCCAGCGTGGGAGCGGCTCAGGGCAGGGGGGGCCCGGGGGATTTCGGGTGGATTTTGGGGGGCAGGAGGTCACAGCAGCCCCGAATCTTTTTTTTTTTTTTTTTTT